GCAGAAAAACGCTCAGGGAAGTTGATGGGGGGCCCAGGGGTACCATTGGCTGGGGCAGGCAGACACTCAAGGCGACCCACACCCTGCACCAGGGCCAGTATGCAGGGCAGCAGAGCACTGAGGCCCTGACCCAGGAAGAAAGACCGCAAGAAAGGAGGTGGCAAGTGGCTCAGGAAGGGCAGGAAAGTGACATTAGAGGCACAACAGGCCAACGCCAGCACCAGTGTCAGTGTCAGGAAGGCTACTGAGTGGGGCTGCCCCGCCACTGGGGCCACATGGTGCCACAGAGGGGCCAGCAGGGCTGTGCCCACCATACTTAGTCCCTGCACCACCTGGATGGGGACCCGCTCCCCCTTGCCGGGAGCTAGCCGCCTCCACAGGGTCACCATCAGTAGACCCAGGTTCCCCAGCGCCACAAGCACAGAAAGGTACGAGGGGAGGCTCCAACCTGCAGGGGGGTGGGGGGAGATCTTGTCAGGGGCACAAGGCTGAGGAGCAAAGAGCAGCCTGCCCACCATCCCGGGCTCAACGCCCACCCCACCCCCACTCACCCTCGGGGAGGTCTTTCACCACCACGGGCAGCTCCACCCAGATTCCGTTGACAGCAGCCCAGGAGCCCACACCGAAAAGGGCCACCAGCAGGTGGGTTAGCACCAGACGGCCCAGCGGAGGTGCAGCCATTGGGCCAAATGAAGGCCCTCCAGGTTAGGGTGAAGGTCACAGACCGTTCTTTACCCACTTAGATTCCAAGACGCGTTGGCTCTTCTGGGAACTGAAGACCCCTTCCAGCTGGAAGGAAAAAGGCAGGCGTGCAGGGCAGAACCAGTACAGAGCATCTGGACAGGCCACCGCGGGGCAGTCAGGAGCTACACATACCACGGAGCCCTCTCGGAGGCCAGGACACAGCAAGGCCAGCAAGCCGAGAATCAGGAAACCGGTCCCAGGCGTGGCCAGGAAGAGGGCGAAGGATGGCGCTGACCCTGCTACTCTCGGAGGACCAGCGCTCTGCGTTAACCAACCACCACCACCCTCTCCCCACGACCGCCCCAGCGCCGCGCGCACCTTGGGCTGCTGCGACCCAGGGCTGCCGGCGAGGGCGTGGTCGGGGGCGTGGGTCCCGCGCTGTCCGCGCAGCGGCCTTCCAGCCCCGCGAGCACGCCGCCCGGGCCGGGGACGCGGCCAGCAGGGCGGGACGCAGACTGCTACGCTCAGCCCGGACTCACGTCGCCTAGGCCGGCCCGCCCCCCGGGCTCGCGGCGGAAGCTCCGCCCCGGAAGCCGAGTTCAGCGACGGGCGCCGGGCCCAGCCGGAGAGGAAGGCAGGGCTCAGTGGACCTCCGCTTCCTCCAGCCCCGTCTTTCCGCTCCTCTGTGCTCCTCCGCCGCGCGGTCGGTGGCCATGGACGCCAGGCGAGCCAGGCGCAGATCCTGGCGCAGAACCCCCGGCCGGAGACTGACCGGGGCGCGGGCTCGCTCGGCCGAGGACTGGTGGTGGGATCGGCTGGCGCCCAGCGGCTCTGAATACCACCTGCTTCAGGCAGACAGCATGTTGCTCGTGCTGCCCGGCCCGGGGCCTGTCCGCGCCCGCGCGCACAGGCGCATCACCCGCCGCGCGCAGCGGCCACAGTCCTCGGGCCCCGCCGCAACTGCCAAGCCCAGGCCCAGGCCCCGACCTGAGGCGGCTCCCGACCCGGAGCAGGGGCCGGACCCGGGCTGGGGAGATCGCATTCCCTTGGAGGTCCTGGTGCAGATTTTCGGGTTGCTAGTGGCCGCCGATGGGCCCATGCCGTTTCTTGGCAGGTACACTACACCCCCGGCCCCAGCGAAGACCTGAGTTGGATTTTGAGAGCGAAAGCATCTGAGAGCGCGTACACTAGTGTTTTGGCACCCATCCGCAGCGCAAGATTTCTCATTGTGTAGCTCCAGAAGCCTGGCTTTGAGCTGGGGTGGCCGCTGCACTGCGAGTGCAGGGGCATATCGGCCTCTCTTAGGAAACCCATTGCGAGGGTCTGGCGATGTAGCTCAGTGGTAGAGTGCAATGTCCTGATTTCAGTTCCCGGTAGGCAGCTTCACCCGTGAAACGCCGGGCGCCTTTAGTAGTCTGTTCCCCCAGGGCTGCGCGCGTGTGCCGCCACTGGCGTGAGGCAGCTTCCCAGCCCGCCCTCTGGCATACGGTAACCCTGTCGCCTCTGTTGGCTGGCCGCGGTGTCAAGGGCAGCGTCAAGGCGGAGAAGAAGCTCCTTGCTTCCCTGGAGTGGCTCATGCCCAATCGGTAAGAATCCCCTGTGGTCCTTACTCCCTTTTCTGCCTGTGCCTTCCTGCACCAGTGTTGGGTGGGGAGGATGCTGGTCACGGCAGCATGGGAACCTAGTGCAATTGGGCCTTTGCTGTTGCCCAGCTTTTCACAGCTCCAGAAACTGACCCTCATCCACTGGAAGTCGCAGGTGCATGCAGTTTTGAAGGTGAGAGCTAGAAGTTGGCCTGCATACCAGCTGTGTACTTGGAGGGAGTAGCCCAGTGCTGCCCCACAGCATGCCCACCTGCCTGCTTGGATCTCTTTTCCTGTTTTCATCTCTGGTAGGGGGTGGTTAGAGGTAGGGCATCCAGGTAGGCCTCACTTTGAAGAATGCAGGTCATAACAGGGGTCATAGAGTGGGTTGGCATGGCCATCATTGTCTTTCCTGTGGACATTCACCTACCTTACCCCAAACCCAGGCGGTCTTTATTTTCCCACAGCTGGTTAGTGAGTTCTGCCCTCGGCTCACCTTTCTCAAGCTTTCAGACTGCCACAGTGTGACCACGGATGCTCTCGTCATGCTAGCCAGAGCCTGCCACCAGCTCCACAGCCTGGATCTACAACACTCCATGGTGAGCCCTGTGTCCCAAGGGACTCCGAAGAAGCCTAGGTAGAGGTGACAAGTAGCTCTGTGTTGGGTCCCCAGGTGGAGTCCACAGCTGTGGTGAGCTTTCTGGAGGAGGCTGGACCCCGAATGCGCAGGCTGTGGCTGACCTATAGTTTCCAGACAACAGCCATCTTGGGTGCACTACTGGTAGGCTGGTGACGGGCAGGAGCAGAGCCAAATGCTAAACGGGGGAGTGCCAGGCTGGTGACCCAGGTATACTCTACCACTCCTGCAGGGCAGCTGCTGCCCCAAGCTCCAGCTCCTGGAGCTAAGCACCGGCCTCAACCGCAACAACACTCCTCTGCTGCTGCCTATTGAGGTTCTTCAGAAAGGCTGTCCCCAGCTGCAGGTACCTGATGACTTGCTTCTTACACCTGCCACCCTATCCCCACCTGCAGCCTGAGCCTTGTCCCCAGGTACTGCGGCTGCTGAATTTGATGTGGCTGCCCAAGCCTTCTGGGCGAGGGGCAGCTCTGGGACCAGGCTTCCCCCACCTTGAGGAGCTCTGCCTCGCCAGCTCCACTTGCAACTTTGTGAGCAACGATGTCCTGAGTCGCCTGCTCCATGGCTCCCCCAACTTGCGCCTGCTGGATCTTCGTGGCTGTGCCCGCATCACGCCTGCTGGTCTGCGTGATCTGCCATGTAAAGGTCAGCTGTCCTATTTGGTGGCTGGGCAGGTGGGATGTGGGGACCCTTGCTTTTCCTGTGGCCAACACCATTCCTGTCACGTCAGAGCTGGAGCAGCTGCACTGGGGCCTGTATGGTGTGTCTGACCGGCCGTCTCTAGCTAAGGAGGGCAGCACCCTGTTGACTCAGAAGTGGCATCACACCCTGCGGGAACTGGACTTGAGTGGCCAGGGCTTCAGTGAAAAGGACCTGGAGCAAGCCTTAGCTGCCTTCTCTGGCACCCATGGAGGCGCCCACCCAGCCCTGTGCTCCCTTAACCTCAGGGGTACCCGGGTTACAGCAAGCACGATCAGGTTAGCACCCATCCCCCAGGCCCTTGAAGCTAGTACTGCTTGTGGCCCAGAGCTGGTGTGCCACCTTGCTCAGTACCCCTGAGGTCTGGGAGGGAGTGGATACTTGGCCTTGGGAACACTAAGGGGGCTGGGTTTGAGCCTAGTTAGCTGTGGGTAGTAGGCCAGGGGTAGAGCATAGGCAAACAGGGATCCCTGGCTGAGCCCAGCCTTCTGGGCCTGCATTTTCCTGGCAGCTGCTTACTTTCCCATGACTTGCCCTACCCACAGCTCTGTGATCAGTAGCTGCCCTGGCCTGCTATACCTCAACCTGGAATCCTGCCGCTGCCTCCCCAGGGGCCTGAAGCGCGCCTACCGAGGCCTAGAGGAAGTCCAGTGGTGTCTGGAGCAGCTCCTCACCAGCCCCTCCTCCTCCAGCTAGGCAGTTCCAGCTCTGCCTGTACCCTTTCCCAGTTTGGGATGTTTAAACATTTTGTTACAGTAAAATATTTTTAGGAACTCTGTGTGGTCCTTGGGTGGCCCCTTGGGTGAGAAACAGGGTTACATCTGATGGAGCACTGTAGGCTGCAGCAGGCAGGAGTTGGTATGTGGGGGCCCTCTGGAGCCTGACTGGGCTGCACCTGGTCACTGCTGGGTTCACACTTTAGACTGTTGTGTGTCCCACCTCAAGACACCGAGTGAGCTGGGTCAAGCATGCTGAAATCCCAGCAGCTGGGGAGGCTGAGCAGAGGGGCATTACAAGCTTAAAACCAGCCTCAGCAACTTAGACCTTGTCTGAACAAGTAGAAAGGGCTGGGGATGCTGCTCAGTGGTTAAGCACCCTTGAGTTCAATCCCTGGTACCAAAAAAAAAAAAAAAGGCACTGAGTGAGCTGTCCCTGGGTATGTCCAACTGTCCACCCCTCAGTGCGGACTGAGTGGCGGTACAGGGATTGCCAAGTACTCGTACGCGCCCACGGAGATGGGATGGTTAACAGAGCAGCCCCTTCTAGAACGTGCCCCAGAACTTCTAGAATTCCCGTGTGGCTCAGATGGTACTGATACCTGGCTTGCTGCCCTAGCACTGCCAGAGAGTGCCTGTTCCTTCTTGGACCGCAGCCCTGGAGGCCTTTTTCTCCCGGGTATGAGCACGACTGCGGGTACTGGGCGATGTCAGTGAACTGGCCGCCAGGATGACCACCTCTACCTGACAGGTTCCCAAGGGCCGGGGCAGTGGCCTGCCCACGACCTCTGCCGGAAGTCCCTTCCATCTCTGGGCCCTGGGATTTTTGTGCACAGAGCGCCACCTGGCCAAGCGCCTCAAGAACAACGGCTTTTACCCGTTCACGCAGCAGCAGCCAGGCGGTGCGTGGGTGGGGCGGGGCCTCAGCCCGGCGCAGGGGCGCAGGGGCCGGGCGGGTACAAAGCCCTGGCACTGCCCACCCACCACCGCCACACCACACTCTCCCCACCCCTTGTCCTCACACGCACTGCCGGTCCACCTACAGTCTTCGTGCTTGAGTACTACCTGGACACACTCTGGAAGGGACTGCTGCTCTTTTTCGTCTGCCTGGTCCTGGTCTGCTCCGGCTTTGTGAGACAGGTCCGAGTCCTGGATCCCACCCCCATGACCCTTATCCCCTGAGGGCCGGACCAAGCTGTTCCTTGCACCCTGCAGCCCTAGCCTGCAGCCTCTGGTTTGGTTCCTGGTACCCGCAGGTGGAAAAGCAGGAGACCTGGTGCTTCCCTGCCTATGGCATGGTCGTGGGCCTGTGGCTTATGATCTCATCGTTGCCGCGGCGCCGCCTGGTGCTGAACCACATGCGTGGCATGTACCACTTCTCCATCCAGGGACGCACCGTGTGCCAGGGGTCCATGCATCTGGTCTACGTGCGCCTGGCACTCAGCTCTGATGGTGACCTGGGATGGGTGGGCTGGGGGAGGATGTGTGAGGGAGAGGATAACCACCTGGGAGTGGGTGGGGGCAGGCAGGGACCTGCTGCTCTGCCCCAGAGACCCAGCCCTCAGACTCAACGCAGCTGAGTGGCTCACTGCTCCCTAGCCTACGGAAGGTGCTTCTTTCAGCTGGTCCTTTGCGGCCATAAGCTGGAACCGCTGGTGCTGGCGCAGGTGTCGGAGCGCTATGAGGTGGGTCTGCCCTAGACACAGCTCCCTTCTCTGCACATCATGACACAGACCGCTGTTTAGGGCCATGGGATGGGGGTAAATATAGCTTGAGTGGCTGGGGGGCAGGGTTGGGGACACCTAAGGGCCTGGCACCACGACCTGTTTATACACTCCCACAGCAAATGGAGTACCTGGGCCGTTACATCGCTAGGAAACTCAACATCAATTACTTCGACTACCTGGCTACCTCCTACCGACATGTGGTCCGTCACTGGCCTCTGGGGGCCTCCTTTAGCCCAGGCATCCTTCTTCGCAAGAAAGGCGTCTACAGCAGGCCAAGCAGCTCTCAGTCCGACCTGGAGGTGTGACCCTGGGCCTGCCCCCTACAGTTATGGTCCCATCCCCTACATCCTCCCATCCTGCCTGTAGCTCATTCCACCCCTGCCCTTAGGTGCACTCAGGCCAGTCTGCTCACTGGTCTTTCTCTGAATAGAGCTGCCTCTAGCTTCCACCAAGTTATTTTTGTCTGTCTGGTGGGGGGGAGTCCCTTCAGAGTCTTCCCCTAGTGCAGGCTTCTCAGGGCCTCAGGACCCTGTCCTCTCCAGAGGCTGCAGCAAACCCCAGAGCAGGGATTAGAAGAGGAGAGTACGTGTAGCTGAGACTCAAGGAGGCTGATGATCACTGGACAGGCTTAGGACTGTCGCCCCTCTTGGCCAGCAGCACTTAACTGGTCCTGCCTGGCTACAGTGGGATCCAGGAGCCAGAATCTGATTGGTCCAGTCTGGCTAGGTGCTATGGACGTGGCAGAGCCAGCGAGGACAAGCCCTCAGGTATGGGTGCACCCTGAACTGCAGTGCAGAGATATTGTTGCACACTTCCTAGGGAATAGCCTCCAGAGTCCTCCCCTAGGGTGAAAGACCTCTCTGGGCATGCTGGAACCCCCTTGCCCAGCAGAGCACCCCAGCTTCTGCTTCAGGCATCTGATGCCTCTTGGGTGCTGGGACTGCTTGGGAGCAGAGAAGGCGGTAGGCTCATACACCCAGGAGGAGTGGTGCTTTTCATGAGCATGTGCTCTCTGTTCAGCTTTTTTTTTTTTTTTGTGGGGGGGGCGTACTAGGGATTGAACTCAGGGGCACTTGACCACTGGGCCACATCCTCAGCCCTATTTGTTATTTTATTTAGAGACAGGGTCTGGCTGAATTGCTTAGTGCCTCGCTTTTGCCGAGTCTGGCTTTGAACTCGTGATCCTCCTATCCTCCTGAGCTGCTGGGATTACAGGCAGTGCCACTGGGCCCAACTCTGTTCAGCTTGTTTTTGACTCAGGGCTTGGGCATTGTGTCCCTGGAACTCAGGACCAGCTACTTAATTTGTAGGGTTCCAGACAATGTGGAGACGTGTGGTTCCATGGTAGAGCACATTTTTAGTACCTAGGTAACCCTGGGTTCAGTCCTCAGCACTCCAAAATAAAGAGGGAGAGGGCCAGGGGAAGGAACCTGGGGTTGAGAGACCCCCACAGCTAGTCCTTGCAGTGGGAAATCACTGGGGATTGTGAGCAGAGAGGCCCTATGATCCAGGAAAAGAGTGATCAGGAAGATCCAGAGACTGTAGGAATTATGATTAGAAAGAAGGGACCAGGCAGGTCAGAGATTCTGCTGAAAAGCAAAGCCCACAGAATTTTCTGGCTGGATATGGGCTGAGAAGCCAAGCAATTCCCTGGGACAGCAGGGTGTCACCTGGGCTAGTGGCCATGGGAGGCTGGGCTGGGAATTGGAGTTCTGAGCTAGGAGGTACTGTTTATTTTGTGGTGATGGGGATCAACCTCAGGGCCTTACACAAGTTAGTCAAGTACTCACCCTCTGTGTTTAGTTAGTCATATGGTCACACAGAACACACTGTATTTTCCGGTCTCTGCCGCAGATCCATACAGGTGTTTGTAAAAGTCATCCCTGGCCCATGCAGTACAATAAATGTATGTGATTTCCAAAAGTGTCCTTAAAAGGAAAGGTTTCCCAGTCCTCACCATTGCTTCTTTTTGTGAGCTGGAACCCCCTGATGACTGCAGCCCAAGCAGCCAGCTGAGCCACAATGTGGAATGTTGCTGAGGATGGCAGAACAACAAGATGGATCTGTGGAGCTGGACAACTGGGGCTGCCCATAGAGCTGACCCTGGAGGGCTCACACTGGACACTCTGTGAAAGGGAGAGCTTTCCACAGTTTAAATTGTCATCATTGGGGGGTTTTCTAGTAAGACGAGCATAGCTTTGAAGGTAGAGGGTAATTAGAAGGCATTGTTTTTCTTCCTGGTGCAGGATGGAACCCAGGGCTTTGTGCCTTCTAGGCAAGTGCTGCACCAGGGAGCTACACCCTCAGTACTTTTTAAAACTTTTATTTTTTTGTAGTACTGGGCATTGAACCAAGGGGTGCTGTACCACTGACTTACACCCCCAGCTATTTTATATTGCTACATTGCTCTGGTTGACCTTGAACTTGTGATCCTCCTGCCTCGGCATCCTGAGTAACTGAAATTACAGGTGTGTGCCACCACACCTAATGCATTAGAAGAATTTAAGTGGGGAGGGGGAAGAAGATGTGAAGCAGTTTTCTCGAGGAATGGGGGGGCAGCTGGTCAAGGAGAGTGTAGCAGGATGGCCTGACAGCATGGCATGCCCAATATGATGTGCTTCATCACATGAGGGGCTGTGAGTAGGGTCATACGTTTTCTCCAACAGAGTTCTGCTGTTTAGATGCTGGTGCTTGCTTAGCCAGGACAATGTGAGAGTGACTATGATTCTGGCCCATGGAAGCCAATCTGGGGGAGCAAAGGGCTGGTACCAGCTCCCTTACCACATCAAGAAGCACTCTGAACACAGGGTCTTGAACCAGCACGGGTGGTCCTCTGCCCTAACCTCTTGTGCTGGCATGGCTCAGCTGGGTGGTTCTACTTCCCCTGGGGGCTGGGATCCCCCTCGTGGCTAAGCCAGCTGGAAGCTCATTGGGTCCATGAAATCCAACACAAGTCCCACTCTCCAGGGCCGCTTCCGAAATGGTGTCATACAGCAGACCCTCCTGCGCTGGCTTCCAGAGTGTGGGACCAGAAAAGAAGCCCCAGCAGGAAGCGGACTGTGGATGCCTCAGGTCAGCAAGTCCACAGGAGTGGGCCGCAGGTCTCTGCAGGATCTTCAGGTGCAGAGACCTGTGATCCAACAGCCAAGGCTCTTGCCTACACAGTCTGCATGGATGGGGTGTCTTCCATGCACACTTCTGTGGGGACAGTGGGGACTGCATGGTGCAGCTGGCCTCTAACCAGGCAAGTACAGAAGAGGAAAGATGCTGCTGCCCAGTGAACAAACCCAGCAGGGGCCACCTTGGCCAGGGGTGCACTGAGAGCCCACTCCACTGATGTCCTATGGCCTCTTCTGTGGTGCAGTGAGCGAGCATGCCACACTGTGGTCTCCTCCCCAAACCCTTAGCATTACCCCTAGAGAACAGGGACGTTCGGCAAAACACCCCTTCATTCCACAAGGTTGAGCATCACTCCTCAAAACTGCCAAGGCCACGAAAAATAAGGGAAGATCGAGAAACTGTCACAGATCACAAGAGACATGATGACTAAGAGCAGTGTGCTACCTGGAGCTGACTCCTGGAACAGGAAGAGCAAAATGGTGGAAACACCAGAGAATTCCACACACTATAAGTCCAGATTTATTATTATTATTATTATTTTGGTAGTTGCACACGGACAGCATGTCTTTATTTTATTTGTTTAGTTTTGGATGTGGTGTTGAGGATCAAACCCAGTGCCTCATACATGCTAGGCAAGCGCTCTGCGGCTGAGCTACAGCCCCAGTCCAAGGTCCGTATTCTTGACCCGCTTTCTACCTACAGAAAGGTTGAAGCTTACCTCCCATTTTTGGGGGGGCATACCAGGGATTGAACTCAGGGGTACTCAATTACTGAGCCACATCCCCAGCCCTGTACTGTGTTTTACTTATAGACAAAGTCTCACTGAGTTGCTTGGTGCCTCACCATTGCTGAGGCTGACTTCGAACTAGTGATCCTCCGATCGCAGCCTCCCAAGCTGCTGGGACTACCGGTGTGTGCCACTGCACCTGCATCATTGTTTGAATGATCTCTGTCCTGGTTAGTCTAAGATACTGTGATTCCTTTTAGAACTTGTGTGTGGTGGCATATGCATGTAATCCCAGAGACTTGGGAGGTTGAGGTGGGAGGATCCAAAGTTCAGAACCAGACTCACCAACTTAGTGTGACCCAAGTAACCCAGAGAGATCCTGTCTCAAAAAATAAAAAGGGCTGGAGACATGGTTCGGCAGTAAAGAGTCCCTGGGTTCAATCCCTGGTGTAAAAAAAAAAAAGCAGGATTTTGATGAATCAGATAACTGGTTAATCTTTAGGTGTATATCAAGGTATGGTGGACAGTGACCCTGAGACTCCCAGAAGCCCTCAGATTAGCTGATGTGGTCTGTGAGCACTGCCTCACATGTGAGTGGTCTGATCAGGAAGTTTTAAAGTAACACCCTAGATTTAATCTTTTTTTATATATTTTTTGAGAATTTTTTAATATTTATTTTTTAGTTTTTTCAGCGGACACAACATCTTTATTTGTATGTGGTGCTGAGGATCGAACCCAGGCCGCACACATGCCAGGCGAGCGCGCTACCACTTGAGCCACATCCCCAGACCCTCTTTTTTTTTTTTTTAATATTTATTTTTTTAGTTTTCGGCGGACACAACATCTTTGTTTGTATGTGGTGCTGAGGATCGAACCCGGGCGGCACGCATGCCAGGCGAGCACGCTACCGCTTGAGCCACATCCCCAGCACCTAGATTTAATCTTAACACCTAAAATACAATTTGCTGGTGATGCCATGGATTTGATCATTGTCCAGAGGCTATTTCTTACTCTGAAAAATTTGCAAGCTGGATAGACTGGGAACGAAAACTATTTTACTTCCAACCTGTTAAGTCCTAGATAGGAAACATTTTTTTTCCATATTTTGATTTTTTCTTTTTTGATCCTGGGGACTGGACCCAGGGGATCATGCATACTAGGCAAATGCTGTGTCACTGAGCTCCATCCCTGGCTCTTGAGTGGCAGGTGTTGAGGATGGAACCCAGCCACCCTACTGTCCCTAGTGTGTTTCTCCCATACTTTCAAAAACCCACAGAGCACCAACTTATGCATCCCCTTCCTCCTATGTGACCCCAGGTCACTTATGGGGAAAGGCACATTGATCAGACCTGGGAGTCTGTGTCCCCTGAAATTCATGCACTGAGACAACCAACACTGTGATGGGATCAGGAGATGGAGCCTTTGGGAATCTATGTTAGAGTAAGGCACGATGTGCATGCCTGTGATCCCAGCAAACTGGGAGGCTGAGGCAGGAGGATTGAATGTTTGAGGCTAGCCTGAGCAATTTAGTGAGACCCTATCTCAAGATAAAAAGGACTAGAGCTGGGGATGTAGCTCAGTGGTAGAGTGCTTCCCTAGCATGCATGACGTCCTGAATTCAAACCCCAGCACCACCACCAAAAAAAGATAAAAAGTGCTGGTTTTCTGTTTCCGTGGTCACGCCAGGTAAACTGGGCTGACTGGGCTTCTTCGCAAAATAACCACACAAGAGACACAAATACCTTTTTCTTTGGGGTCGCTGTGACGGCTCCTCTGACCCTAAGGGTCCACAGGAAGAGAGAGAACAAGAGCACGTGCTGACCCCTTTTATTGAGGAGAAGCTATTCAAATGAGGCAAGGGGTCAGGTTTCAGGGGGCTGAGTCTATCTTCATTAAGTCCAAGCAGGTTGAGTGACACCTGGGTAGGCCACACCCAAGGGCACAGTAAGAGAAGGGGACACACACAAGGCACTTCCATGGAAGATTCTACCCTAAACAGGGCAAGGGGTTATATTACAAAGGGAAGGTGAGCATAGCTTCACCCATGGGGCTGTAGCAAGACACACCCATGCAGGAGGCACTGTCCCTGGAACCCAAGAAGGGTGGGGAAAGCTCTTCCACATTTCTGTGACTGAATGCCTCAGCACCCAGCCAGGGAGTGTGACTCA